TTCTTGGACTGGGCTGCTCGGCCGCCGCGGCCCCGCATACTTGTGGCCATCAAGTTGTTGTCTCCAACAGCAGGCCGGGTCCTTTCCCATCTCGGCCCAGTGAGGTCATCTGCGTCAGCGCGTTGGATCGGCCTCTTAGTCAGCTGACCCCTCCCGCCGCCGCCGCCGGGTGGGGAGACAAATGGTCCGCGGTGGAAAATAAAGACTCTCCACTTCCCTCTCCGCTGAGCGTTCTTGCAACAGGCCGCGGATAATAAAACGCTGCACAAACAGCCCTCGGAGGCCGCGGCGTCCGAGCAGCCGCGTGCTTGATTCCCTTCATCTGTGCGGAGGAAGCAGCTGCGCGGCGCTTGCCGGTTGGCCTCTCCTCTCCTTGTGGTGCGCAGGTTGTTGTCACAAAGCATCAGCAGGTTGGGTCGGTCCGTGGCTCTCTGGTGGGGGGGGGGGAGGAGGGTGAATCAGCCTCGGGGAGCTTGCGGTTCGGCCTAATGAGGCTGAGAGCTTTGTTTATGGAGTTACGCATCATTTTTATGATTATTTCCACCTTTTCGGGCTCTGCTGCGCGGCAGAACCCGACTCGGGGCCGTCGCCCTGACCTCGGCCCGGTGCTGTTAAATGAGCCACCACGCGGCAACGTCCAAAAATGGCGGGGGGGGGGATTTCGGCGGAGGGCGGGCCGGCGTTACTGCGGGGAAAGAAATCTCTGCAGGGAAAGTACACGAGTGAAGACATGTGTTGGTCTGATGTAACAGTGGCGAGGGCCTCGCGTACCCTGGGGGGAGGGAGAGGGGGGGCTGCTAATGTTTGCAACCTCGGGAAAATATGGAACATATAAACATCCAGGGAGATTCAGCGCATGGCCCATGTGCTTGTTCGTGTAAGAGCGCATTTTAAGCGTCTTCTTCGCCTTTTTCCTAGAGAAAGAAACTAAGCAAATTTTCTTTTTAAAGGCCCGTGTTAAAACAAGATATCTTCGGTCCGGGGGAATTCGTCGGCGTTAACCGGCCCCGGAACGCGCACCTCGCTCGCCGCGACTTGAAAGTAACGTTTCTTCTCTCCTCCAGGCGACTGCATGGATAACGGCGTGGCTTCGCCCAGCACCGGGGACGACGACGACCCCGACAGGGACAAACTGCACAACAAAAAGAGAGGCATCTTCCCCAAAGTGGCCACCAACATCCTGAGAGCCTGGCTCTTCCAACACCTGACGGTGAGTGGCACGTGCCGCCGACCTGTTCACCTGTGGGCGTGTCCAGGGATTTTACCTGTGGGCGTGTCTAGAGATTTTACTCGTGGGCGTGCCCAGGGATTTTACCTGTGGGCGTGTCTAGAGATGTTACTCGTGGGCGTGCCCAGGGATTTTACCTGTGGGCGTGTCCAGGAAGTTTACCTTTGGGCGTGTCTAGAGATTTTACCTGTGGGCGTGTCCAGGGATTTTACCTGTGGGCATGTCTAGAGATTTTTCCTGTGGGCGTGTCCAGGGATTTTACCTGTGGCGTGTCTAGAGATTTTACCTGTGGGCGTGTCCAGGGATTTTTCCTGTGGGCGTGTCCAGGGATTTTACCTGTGGGCGTGTCTAGAGATTTTTCCTGTGGCCGTGTCCAGGGATTTTACCTGTGGGCGTGTCTAGAGATTTTACCTGTGGGCGTGTCCAGGGATTTTACCTGTGGGCGTGTCTAGAGATTTTACCTGTGGGCGTGTCAAGGGATTTTACCTGTGGGCGTGTCCAGGGATTTTTCCTGTGGGCGTGTCCATGGATTTTACCTGTTTGGCTCAACTGTAAATAATAAATGACAAATGTTTATAACTGGTCTATAACGATGTCAAAGGTAAACGTCTACAACGTTGATTCCGTAACATCATTTCCAACTGTCGTGTTTACTCGTTACAGCCCATTAATAAGACAAACAAGCTTGTTTGGCTCGTTTGGGTTATTATGTAACCGTGGGTTCAGACAGAGCGTGTCCAGAGGATCACATTGACACTGACCCCCACCACACTTAGTAATATTAACATGTTTGTGTTTACCTGCATCGAATCAGGGTAGAACGTACGAGCCTCTCGTGGAAACACGACTCTTTACCAGCGTGAAACGGAAGTGAATCGTCCGGTAGAAGTGGGAGGACCCGGTGACTCACAGTCCTGGCCGAGGCCATCAGAACAGCCAAAACACCCCCTCGCTCCCCCCCCCGCCCCTCGATCCCCCCGCCGCCCGCCTCCAAACATGGAGAGGCTAAATCGGTTCCCGCTCGACGGGGGTCGGGCCGCCTGCCGGACTCTGAGCCCGACCTGGAGGAGAGCGAGTCCTGCAGCAGATGGGAGGAGGGGGGGACGGGGGGGACGGGGGGTACGGGGGGGGGGGGGGGTCTTGCTGTTGGAGGTTACGGTTGAATGAAGGGCAACAAAAACCAACAGCCAGAGAGAAAATAATGACACGACGTGGAGGCCGGTTCGAGGCTAAAGAGACACACTTTTTATCATTTTATTTATAATGATTGTTTATTTACATGATGGAGAAACTATCTGTCCTGCTGAAGAAGACATGAGGGATTGTCTGACTTACGCGTTTTTATCTTTTCATTTGTTATTAACGGTGGACGTGAGACAAAAATGAATGAAATAAGACAATTAGGCAAGTTTACGTTGTAGAAACGCAGTAATAATCATTTCACTAATGTGTGTGTTCACTTCTACTAGAGCATCATGACCATCACAGCCTGTTTTTTGTTAACTTCTGCACTGGGGACTCTTTATTATTGGGCCGCTTTAATCCTGATGGACCTGGTTACCGCGGTTACGCAGCGTGGAAACAGCCGTAGAAGCAGCGACATGTGCAAAATGTCCGACTGATTCGGGAGGGATCGCTTTGAGATCCTGCTGCTTTTTAAAAATCTGTGTGTGTCGAGCCGCTCAGGAGCAACGCTGCTGACCTGCGTGTGTGTGTGTGTGTGTGTGTGTGTGTGTGTGTGTGTGTGTGTGTGTGTGTGTGTGTGTGTGTGTGTGTGGGGTGTTCTGTCTTCCTCCGCTGCACAAACTGCAGCAGCCTTCTCTAAGCCACAGCTCATAACAGCCGACACACACACCCACACACACACACACACACACCCACACACACACACACACACGCGCACACAACCTGTTTTCCTCACATTTTTATTCCACGTAAAAGCAGAGAAACCAACTGGAAAGCTTCCTCCCCGTTAGCGTAATTAGTTTGTAATTCTCCGCCCTCCCGCTGGCAGATGTTGTTTTCCTCCCTGAACGACGTCTCTACAAACCCGCCGCACAAACAGGTGGTGGAAGCTTTTTTTTATCGTGGGCACGGCCGTTTGTTTGCAGTGGCCCGACTCGTGGAAGAGCCGCCGCATCGGCGTTCCCCGTCGCGCGCGTGACTCCAGTCAGAACAGCTGGAAAGGGTTTGCACGTCCAAGTGCATCTCAGCGCCGGCAGAATCTGAGAAAGGGAGAAAAACAGCGTCGGTACGAAGAGACGGGAGAAAATGACCCGAAACTTCAAAGCGAGCGCCGCAATTACAGAGGAGGACTCCTCGGCCGGGGCCTCCCGAGCCGAGCGGGACAGATGAGTTAGCAGGAAGCCCCGGCGCTGACCTCGCAGATCCCCCCCCTCCGCCCGCCCTCCATCCATCAATCAGGGGTCAGAGGGCACCGGGACACCTCCGTCCATCCATCCGTCCATCAGCAGCTGCTTCCAGCCGCGGAGCTGCAGATGTGGGTGACGGAGAGGCCGCGGCGACTCCCGCCGCCGCCAAAACGCGCGTTCAGCCGCCTGACGCCACCCGCACACGTGAACCCCGCGCCCCCCTCCCACCTCCACGCCGGGGATCGAACATTGAACATGGCGTCGGAGTCTCTCATGTCTCACGTGCTAATTGTCCGTTAGCTCGGCGGCTAGCTCCGGTAGCTGTGATGTGACTCGGGGAGGAGTTCTCGGTGTGTGAAAGACGAGGTCGAGAGTTAGTTATTCGAGTTTGTTATCGATTTTTTTTCGAGGTAGTTCTGGATTTAGAACGAGAGGAAGAAGAGTAAAGAACTCTTCGAGGAACGAGTAGCTCCCGGTTTCGCTCTCGATTGGTTCTGCAGTGGTTTTACGTTTGATTCCAGACTCGCTCTGAGATTAGAGATTAGTCAAAGACTTTGTTCTAAATTTAGAACCTGAGAAGTCGTGTAGTTCCTGATTTGGTTCCTGTGACTCGTTGCTTTGGTTCCAAAGTGTCACTAAAAGGCTCCTAAATCTGATATCAGGGCCGTTTTCTATAATTGAGAATTTTTTTATACTTTTCTTCTTATTAACTTTCAGGTTAAAGTTACATTCAATTGTTTTCTGTCAAAGTGTAAAATAATCAGATTTGATTAAACGTCCACTTCTTCCTGGACTTGAGGAGCAGAAACATCAGATTTCGGAGCAAATGTCAAAGATGCACCAGGCCAGAGGGTGTTTTTACAAAAAGCGCGAAGCCTCTTGGCCGAGAACAAAGCGGCCGACCATCGGTTCGCCGTCGCCCCGAAACTCTGGCTTTGGTTAGAAACGAAGGCGGCTGTGAACAGACGTTCATTTCCCTTCGGTGTGAGGACGGCTGTTCCGTGGCTCCCTCGCCCCGCAGTGAAAACATCATCCATTACCCCTGTGACAGGCCCCCCGGGGAGCCCAGGGCCCGGCGCTCTGTGGGGGTCGCCTTTATTGACCTCTCACCCCCCCTGAACCCCCCCCCCCCCCCCCCACACACACACACACACAAATATGTCCAGCATGTGGTCACATACATCACGGAGCAGCCTTTCTTCCCTGACAGCGTGAATGAGCGTCCGTCAGATAATGAAGCGAGGAGTGGAGGCCAATCAGGGGACAGATGGAGGGGACGATCTCAAGCTGTCCCAGAAGACGGATTAGGGGAGAAGACGGAGTTTAAAGTCACCTTCAAAACACAACACTTTTTTTCCTGCTTTCAGGTCATTTCTTTAATCGTGAACCTTTGGATTGTGTTGTATAAAAGGCGCTGACACACACACACACACACACACACACACACACACACACACACACACACTAAACGCACTAAACGCACTAAATGAGTTGTAATTACAGCCTCTTAACAGGTTTACTGCGACAATAAACAGCACCACCTTCCCGACACAGCGGGAAATTGTGCTTTTTAAAGGTGTCGACAATTCTGCAAAAAGCGTCAGGTTGTGCACAAGGAAGGAGGATTTTCACAATAACTAAACAGAAATAAAGTCACGCGGAGGCCTCGGGGATTAAATTGCGAGCGTTTCATAATGAGTCAAAAGCTCCTTTTAGGCTCCAAGTGTTTCGCTTACATTAGTAATCTACTGCTAAACGAAACCCATAAACCTCTCGGCCGTACCGTGTTCCTCAAAGCGGTGCCTTCGCAGTGACGCACGCGGGCAGGGCGACTGGTTCCGGACCAGCGGCTGCTCTCCGCTAACTGGATTATAATTTTATAACGAGCAGGTGGCTTCAGATTAAAACGCTGCGTGGAAACTCTGGAAACGAGCTCCATGTGTTTCCACTCGACCGACTCTTCTGGTTTCGAAAAAGGTTCAGGCAGTTTTTTTTTGGTGACTTAATGAGCAACAAGAGCCGGCTGGTTCTGACCCAGCCGTGTGTGTGTGTGTGTGTGTGTGTGTGTGTGTGTGTGTGTGTTGACCAGGTCTAAACAAGCCTCGGGTTCATGCGCCGCTCTGGAGGTCCGTGTCTCCTCGTTGGCGGAGCGGCGGCTGCGCGGCTGAAACGACCTCCACGATTATCGCTCTCTGTGCCAAATTAGATGCAGCTTAGGCCAATTACCTGCTATCAGATCAGGGGGGGGGACGGGACGCACGGCAGCTCTGGCGGAGGGACGGTCGGGGCGGAGAGGAGGAGGACACATCAGAGACTTTCCCTCCTCGCCGCAGGGAGACATGTGGCCCCCCGAGGCGCTGTGATTGGCTGCTGATAAAAGAGCTCAGTAGAACCAGGAAGTGATGGACGGATGGAGGATCCGTCCATCACTTCCTGGTTCTACTCCGCTTCGATTTGCTGCTGCTACTGAAAAATACTTTTTGTTAAGATCCACCATTTGCACCTTTTCAATGCCAAATTGATCAAATATATATAAGATTAATATATGTATATATATATACATGGGGAGTATGTCATCCTGGCCTTGAAAATTAAAATATATATAAGTCGAAGGCTTTAAAACCACAATAACGACGTCCACTTCAAACCCAAGAAAACGTTGCGAGTGTCTCTCAAATCATTGATGAGCGTCTGTAGGAGATTTCACAAAATCAAACAGGAATAACTTTGCGAACAGTAACACGTGTGGCCGTCGTGTGGTGAATGTGGCGGAGAAAACACTGATTTGATGCCTAAAACATCCGCAACGTAACAATGTAACACACACACACACACACTCACACACACACACACTCCAGGGATGGAGCTGTGCAGCCTCGGGCCTGTTCTGATCCGCTACTGTCAGAGAAACAAGCCTGAACCAACCCCCAACACACACACACACACACACACACACAAATTAACAGGGCGCCCTCTCCACTTGGCTTCCCTCTCTAATTGGCTCACCATTTCTTCCCATTAATTATGCTCCATTTCATATCCCCTTAATGAGTCTAGCCCCGCCCCCCCCCTTTTGACGCTAATTAGCAGCATTCGGGCTACTACGGAAAAAAACAAAAAACAAAACACACACACACACATACACAACCCCGTGATGTTTTGCCGCGTGTTGACGCCTGCGTGTTTTGTCCCTCTGCAGCACCCGTACCCGTCGGAGGAGCAGAAGAAGCAGCTGGCTCAGGACACCGGCCTCACCATCCTGCAGGTCAACAACTGGTGAGACACTCTTGTTGTGGTTTTGCAAACCCAGCCGCCCCCCCCCCCACACACACACACACACACAGACACACACACACACCCACACACACACACACAGAGGAACATCTAATGATGTGAATTAAATCCTGTGGGGTTGCCCTTTCTCCGAATACCCCCCCAATCACAGCGAGAGAGAGGAGGGGCCGGTTAATTGGAGGGTTAATTGGCGCTCGGAGGCCAGAGGTAGAGACCTGCAGGAGGCCTCCGTGTTCGTGCAAAAGGAAACGTCGGCGAATTACGCCGTCGGGGGGGGGCGGGGTTCAAGCGATCTTCCTCAAAAGCCTTTTCATCTTCACAGTCACATGTATTGAAATGCTGCGTCGTCCTTCCTGTTGACTGTGACGAGCCGTGAGGACGGACAGTAGTCGACGTGTTGGGGGAGAGGCTTCAGAGAGAGGCGGGGTCGCTGCGGCCCACCTGGCCGCCTCCTCCCCGTGGAAACTAAACATTAGAAGAAATTTGAGTTGCTTTTTGGCATCGTCGCACCGTTTGATTGATCTAATTGGGCATCACTGCCAAACAAGAATCATCGGAACAATTTTTATAACAGCGTCTTCCAGGAGAAAGGCTTCGATTTCTAATGTATAACATGTGTGTGTGTGTGTATATATATATATATATATATATATATATATATATATATATATATATATATATATATATATATATATATATGTATATATACTGGAGCCATTAGTCAGACCAGCTCCCTCTGAATATGTGGCTGTTGCCGTGGTAACGCCTCTGGAGCAGCTCGCAGAGGCGAAGGCTGTAAATGAAGCTTTGATCCGACCGCCGTTTCATACCATCAGATCACGTGTGTGCGTGTGCGTGTGTGCGTGCGTGCGTGTGTGTGTGTGTGTGTGCGTGCACACTAACTGGTTAATGGTGTTTCATTTTGACTGTAATAAAGATATTATGCTTGAATTTAGAGATGACGTCTTCCTGTTATGATGTTCTTGGTTTCCTCCTCTGTCCTCGTTTTACCCTCCTCTCCTTTTATGTACCTCTCCTTGTTTCCTTCCCTTGTTTCCTTGCATTTCTTGTTTTCACCCTTCAAATTGTTTTTTTCTTGTTCTTGTTTTGCCTTTTGTCTCTTGTTTCCTTCACTTGCTCTGTGGCGTTTCCTCTCCTTGTTTCCTCTCCACTTCCTCACTTCATAAAGAAACTCGTGTTTAATTAATATTCCTCTCGATGGTCAAACAGTCAGATCAGTACTTGTCTTTTACTTTTTTATTGATCTTGGTGTCTGTTGATTTATGTGTGTGTGTGGTGTGTGTGAGGGGGGTGAGGGGGGGAGAGGGGGGAGAGGGGGGGGGGGGGTCAGAGGCAGTTGGTGTAAATGGCATTTTCATGGCAAACAGCTGGACTGGTTTATTTAAACACGCTCGTTGTGGAGGGCAGAGAGGGTGTGGGGGGCGGGGGGAGGCGGGGGGAGGAGGTCGTACTGACCTGAGAGTGACACCCGGGTGGGCGGGGCCTAGCAACTGTTTTACAGGCGGTGAGTCAGCCAGTGTGCGTTCGGTAATAGCGGTTGTGTAGCAGCTTTGTTTACGTGGAGGAGACTGACCGTAAGACACAAACGATCTAAACAGAATCAACAAACTGCCTTTCAGGACATTTGACACGTCTTTGTCCAGGACGCCGCAGGAAGTCCGTATTTAAAGGAACCTCCGGGATGAATAAATAAGAAAAGGGCTAAAACATTTTTCCAAAAACATTGAGGTTCCTGCGCTCCGCCGGGCGCCGCGCGGCCGTTTATGGGTCGTCTGGTCGCAGAAGAATAAGCCTCAGTGTTACGGAGGCCTGGGGGGGGCGATGGTCAATGTCTTTGTGCAGAAACGTGTGTGTGTGTGTGTGTGTGTTTATGGGTTGACAGCTGTAAACTCAGTGTCACGGTGTGAGGGGTCACGAAGAGGTGAAGCTCTAATCTAATGGAAGGTTAAAAACCGAAGGTCACATGGTTCCATCTTTTCGTTTTTCACCTCGGCTTTAGCGGGAATTGTTCTTTTGCCAAATAAATAATCCAACAGAACAACATGTGGGACGTTTGTCGAATAGGAATGAATCGTGTGAAGATGTATTTATAATATACAATATCCTTCTGCCTCTTATCATAATTGAGATTGAGAAGATTTCTTCAGTATTCAGTACAAACACCATTAAAACATCACTTAGTGCAGCAGAAGCTTCACTGATGGAACCAGGAGCTCCTCTTCTCGCACTTCTTATTATTCTTCTATTTTGAGGAGCCATCGTGCGGTTTTTACTCCGGAGGGACACAATTATTTGCGCGTTGTCAGAACTTGGCATGAAACCCCCCCCTGAGACGCGACCATGTCAAACATTTAAGTGAAACTTGTTGAGCTTCCTGCCGGAGCTGATGCAGATCCTCCTCCACTCACTAAAAGCTCTTCTGTATGTCACCTTCCTCCTCCTCCTCCTCCTCCTCCTCCTCCTCCTGCTGGCCTTTTTATTATCTTTTACTCCCTGAAAAGGCTGCTCTGGCTTTTGTTTTCCTGAAAAGGAAACAGGGTCCACTTTTTTTTTTTGTACCCCCCCCCTCTCCTCCCCTCTGGAACCATCCCTCCCCGGGGGTGAGGAGGTGGGGGTGAGGGTGGGGCGGTGGTTGTAGGGGACATAAATCAAGTGGGAAACCACAGAGCTTTCACTCCGGGGGGGTCAGGAGGGGTCGACAGGCGGCTCAGAAGGCTTTATGCTGAGGAAGACCAGGCAGAGGGGAATATGTGTGTGTGTGTGTGTGGGGGGGGGGGGGGTCACAGAAGGTGCCGGGTCATAGGTCACGCATACCAGGATGATGGCTTTCAAGAGTGTACTTAGAAGGGGACATGTATGAATGCATCGCTGCTGCAGCCCCCCCCCCCCCCCCCCCCCCTCCCCCCGGCCCCCCCCAACCAACGCCTGAAGCATCACAGATTTTCGCTGTTTTAACCTGTTTAAGAAGAACTGTACAAACCTTCCGTGTTGCGTTCAAACACCAGAGAAAACGCGCGGAGAAATGTGATTCGAGTTCTGGACCCAAACGGTTTCCGCTGCTTCTTGGAGGAGAAACGAAAAACTGTTACTGTGGAAAGTCAAGTTATTTTAATGAAATAATAATGATAAAATGTGCGGGTTGCAGCATCAATATTTCTTAAACCAAAATATATAACAGATATGAAATACAAATAACCAATTTAAAACGCTGAGATAATTCTTTCTGTTTCCGTGGCACGTGATCGTCACTTGACTCTGATGTTTTGTCCGATAGATTAACAGATCTCGCGTGTGAAGCTCGGCTTGTGTTCCGTGAGGTCGTGTGATCCACTTTTCATCGCCGTGATTTCCTTCAGAGAGAAACGTGTGACGTTCCAGCGAGCAGTGAGGCGTTCGCTGTCGTGTTCTAGGGGAGGAAGCGTCGTAACTCTGCTGCTCACCACTTACGAGCCGTCTCTCCTCCTGTCTCCCCTCCTTCTCGTCCGTCTCCTCAGGTTCATCAACGCGAGGCGGCGCATCGTTCAGCCCATGATCGACCAGTCCAACCGAGCAGGCAAGTTCCTCACACGCGATACCACGCAGAGCATATTTACAGAAGATGGTTCCGTGTTGATGTGGATCGATAGCTTCCTGCAGTTTGCATCAATCACAACGGGACAGGAGAGCGAACGGACGTCCGAGTGGAGGCCAGCGTGCCACAAAAGCAGCGGCTCCGGTTGGACTCACGTCCCGAAGGTCAACATGAGGTCGGGGCCAAATTTGAGCCGATATATTCAAATGTTGGATCTCCTCAAATAGCGTTAAAAAAGACAAGCGGCCGACCGGAGGCTTTAAATCGGCGGGACACCGAACGTCTCCATGCATCCGAAAATCATGACAAACATCCGAAAATCATGACCGAGAGATGCACGGATGCGAGGAAGCCTCCCTGGTGACCCCCGACCCCTCCGGCGCGCTGCGTCTTTTGCTCTCTTGGCTCCTCGGTGTGTCAAAGCGAAACAGAGAAGGACCGAATGGCCCCCGCGGCCCCAGCGGGATTATCTGCAGACAAAGACGCTAATCGCTTCGACTGACCACTCCATTGAACATTTTAACCCGGGATTAAAACAAACGGGAGCCGGGCTGAAGGGGGCTAAAGCGCCGCTAGCCTTTTGGCCCCTGGGCTTTGTTGGCGTTTACCCCACAGCTGACTTCCACACAAAGGCATCAATCCGCGAGGCTGAATGAGGGCGATGGGAAACTGTTGGAGGACCCGGACCCTGGGAATGCCGCCGCGTAGATTTAAAGAAACAGAAAACAAATTCTCTCACGTCCCCTGAAGATGGAACTTCACGGAGCTAATTTCCCTCGTGAGGACGAAGGCGTTTCGTTTAAAGTCATCTCATCATTGATTAATGAGCGTCCGCCCTCCGAAGATCAGATGAGGGAAGAAAAAGGGGAAAATAAACTCCGGCGTAAACAAGTTTGGAGAAAACAGAATTTTATTAAGCTTGAGATTCATGCTGAACTTTGATGCGAATGAGATAAGACGTGAACTACAACACCATGATCGGACAATCGGTTAAAAATATGTCTCGGTTTCTGGCGACTTATCGTTCCTTCTTCCAACAACATGTTGTTTCCTGATACTTGTGCATCCGACTGAAGATCTCAGATCCGCAGTTTCCATCTCGTACCTTTGGTGAAGGTTGAACCCGTTGGATAAGAGAAGACTCCGCCCCCCCCGGCGCCAAGACGGCGTCGGGCCGCAATGATGGACTCGGAATGGCAGCGCGCGTACCAACGGGAGGCTTCCCGGCGGCGACCGCGCCCGTTTCCTCCGGGTCAGGGGTCACCGCGGGCATCGTGGCTCGCCCCCCCCCTTGGGGGAGCAGGAATTCGCCGCCGCGACGGTAAACGTGGCCGCTGGTCGTTGAGATCTCTCCCATCTGCGGCGGCGAGAAGCCGAGCCCTCCCCCCGCCAAGACGTAGTCGTGTGACAGACAGCAGCTGTCAGACCGGCCTCCGCCCCGTGAGAGTGATGTCATCACGTCGGGGGACAGCAGGCAGCGAGATAATTAAAAGATTATTCACCCCCCTCCTCTTCTTCTTGTCCACAGTGGGCCACGCAGGACCGTACGGCCCAGATGGTCAGCCAATGGGAGGCTTCGTTATGGACGGACAGACACACATGGGAATCCGACCACCTGGTAAACACACACACACACACACACAACGCACAACAACTCGTCTGGTTGAGCCGCCTGTGAGTGAAGTGTTTGTGCGCCGTGTGTTGGTCCTGCAGGGCCTGCAGGTGGCGTTGGGATGGAGGGACAGTGGCACTACATGTAGCACCGCCACCAGCACGCTGCAGCCAGAGGACACGCCCAGTGTCCCGGGACGCCCCCCGTGAGTCACGCGTGTTTTTTTATAGATCTCGTCTCTCAGCTCCACCGGGATGTGAACCAAACATGGAGGTGAAGTGGGGCCCGTTCGCTCCCCGTCACATGACCCTTTTTCGGCGGCGGCCGATGGCGTCACGTGACCTCTGCCGTGGCATTCCGTTTCTTTCACTGCTTCTCCTCGATGTTGGATCGTAGGAACAA